TTACAATAATTCAAGCGAAGATATATATAATTAAATTTCGCCAAAAAAAATTATATAAATTTATATATTAAGTAAAATTATAATTTTTATATAAATTACGTATCCTATATTAATTAATATTACTATTATATATTATTACAAAAATGAAATTATTCAAAATATATTTAATTAATATTTTAATAAATTCAAATTAAATTATTTAATTATAAGTAAAATAAAATTCAAATATATATAAAATATATATATTTAATTTAACATAATTAAATAACATATTAATTATCAAAAATATCTTAAATATAATATCCTAAATAATATTTATAATATCGTATTTCTAAAAAACAAAGCAAATAAGAAAAAAAATAAAATAATAAAATATTTATTAATATATTTTATATAAAATAAAGAAAAAAATAAAAACAAATTAAACATATTATTTTAATATTATTTTAATTAATCCCGTCGAATTTAATATATTTAATCGTAAATTAGATTTTCAACTAACCTCCTTCGGAAATTATTTTCGTCATATATATATATATATTTACTATATTTATTCAATAATTATATCTATATATATAAATATATATTTAAATATATTTCAATATTAAATAACTCATATTATATAAATGATACATATATTGAATTTTTTAATCGTATATTGTCGTATATTTTTACGATAATATTATATGTACATATATGTACAAATGTAAGGTCGTTATCGATTCAACAACCAATTGGTGAAATCTAGGCCTCAAAGAGCACAAAGAGAAGCTCGCGAAATCACGCGGGCACCATCCTGCACAGTTGCAAAATGAGCAAGTGATGCTAAACCTTTTTGTTCCTGTTCTATTCAATTCTTCGATCGTTAGACCTGTTCTTGTTCTTCATCCTGTTCCTGTTCTTCATCCTGTCTATTCTATTCCTGTTCCCTTGTTTCCATCTTTGGACCTTTAAACCTTGCTTCTCCCATTGACGTGACCACACACATGCAAGGCTGGGCCAAAGCTCTTTCCATCCGAGACACCCCTATTCTTCAAGAGTGCAGGTTCGTGGTGCTCTCCAACCGAAGCGGAATGGCCTCCACCCTAGTAGCGATGGCCTCCAACCTAGTAGGTTAATTTTGGTCTTCAAGACTGAATGGAAGTCACAATCTTGGTGCTCTCTATGTATCTCCATCTTCATCAAACCATCTTTGCGCAGAAGCTCCCATCGCATCTTTTCTGCAAATCTGTCGGATGATGTCCTGGAGGTCCTCAAAGACGCTACGATTATGTCTTAAAAATCACCAATCAGGGCCAATACGATGGTTTAGGAACAACTAGTCAAAGCACATCTTTCAGGAATGCTCAGAAACATGTACAGTATCATGTACCTCCAGAAAAAGCCAAGTCCTGCAAGGAAAAGAGACCAACAGCGCTCTGCATCGCAACCAAAGACCAAGCTGGTTGACCTGTTACTGAACATTTGGGACTCACAAACTCCAGGCTCTAAAGACTCTGACAGGCCTGAGTCATGAGACCAGGCGTTTTTCGTGAAAAGAGGCTTGCAGCAAATCGTTCTGGCAGGTTCTGGGACATCTCTAGTTCACAGCAATAAACAGCAAGGATGCTTTTGGGTGGGCAGCTTTGATTCATCGTCAGCCTAGACCTTCATCACCCTGGAGATATCCCAGGCACTCGGCCCCATGGGGCCCTGTCACCCGCGTGACAGCGAGTCGATTGTATCGATAGACATACATGAAAACTTTCTCACCAAGAGATTGAAACAACTGCGCAGGCATGCAGAGGATTGGACCATCAATTAAAAAAGGAATTGATGCAGTGATGCATCTGTCTTCCATATTCATCTTGTCCCGACTGGCAAATTTCTCCACATTTCTCCACATGCCTCGCCCGTCAAATGACCATGATCTGTAAACCCAACATTAGCGACATTAGCGTTAGCTCAAGTTCTCAATCCGCTCTTCACCTCCGGGATGTCTCAGCCTCAGTGTTTTTCGGACGTGCAAGAAGACGAGGAAAAGACTCTGGCCAATTCAGAATCTACCTGCTCAAACTCACGGCAAAAACCACCCGATCACACCAACCAGTGGACAAATCCCACCAACCCCCCCCCAAAAAAACTAAGAACCCTGACACAGCCGACATACTTGGGCCAAACATACGACTGGACGGTCGGGTTCCACGGTGGGTGGGTTCCGTGTGGTGGGTTCCTGCTTGGGTTTTTCAGGTCGTCCAGCGCCCAGTGATCCCATGTGATGACGTCCTCTCTGACCTCTCCCATCTGAGCCACGCGGGATGCCAATAGGCGTCCAAGGGAAAGCGCTCCGCCAGGTTGGGATCTGCCCGAGCCTTGGAGAAGCAAAGATCTGGACATGATGCACAAAGAATGCGACTCATCTTGTCATATCTATTCATATCTGGTCAAGCTCATCCCTCCAAAGTTTCTTCAGTTGTCAAAGAAGCTCGGGAAAGAAAAGAGGTCTGACATGAGCAGGCACTGCAGCCGTACAATTGGCGCAAGCGGTTGGTAGCCTGTACAGGCTACATGTGAGATCTTGATATGGTGGTCATTTCACCCATAGCCCGGGACTCACCCTGGTAGGCTGACCTCCCCAGTTATGTTCAGTGTCTGTGGTCAACCGGTCAGTCTTCATGACTCATCACCTCCATGCGCACCGGACTCAGTCATCGACATCCACCTGCCGCGCGCTGCGCAGCGACAGCCGCTGCGAGGGCTGAGCGAAGCGGAGTTCCGTCATGGTGCGGAAGGCCACAGGCCTCGGAGGAATGAATCAAGACGGTCCATGGATTCATGAGGGCTGGTGAATCCGGGTTCATGCCAGTCGATGATCCTAGGCTGATCCATCTGGAGACGTTTGGTCGGTTCAGGCGACTTGAAGGGATAGATCCACCTGCTCATCCATGGCCATCCATGGGTCCATGGGGATGTGAGATTGTACTAATTGAATATGATATAAGTAATAGTAACTGTAATAGTATATTTATATTAATTCATATTACTTTAACCTGGAACTACCAGGAGGCCGTCGACACCTTGTTACTTGAAGGTTCAGGTGGTGCTGAATCATGTAAGCACCATTAAGCACCTGTATGGGTGTATCAAGACTTCCCACAATGCTGGGCATGTCGAGAACAGTGAGGGAATCAATACCGCAATGCTGGGCCTCCTTTCAGCTTTCAAGGAATTGGCGGCAAACAATGCATCGAAATTCAGCCGTTTTTGCACAGGAAAAAGGGCTTCTTGACGGTGTGTGTGATCTCAATTGTCAAGCATTGATGTCAACGGGTGGTTGCTGGCAGCATCCGTTTTGCAACTTCTCTGAGCTGCTGTTGTTGATCATCGGAGCTAGGTTAAAAAAGATTTGTGATGCAGTTGCGGTTGTCGTCGTTGGCCAGGCACGTCCAACTTTTACGCCAAAACGACGCGGACGAATCGAAAAGTGACCCCAATTCGCAGCTATAGCGTCAGACTGAAACTTAGAATGCCTAAGTAACTCCCGGGCGCAGCCAAAACACCATACACTTAGAATGTTGCAAACAGGTGTGCTTAGAATGTGCCGCATCCTCCGCAAGCATCGTGGGTTTTGTTGATTCAAACGCATTCTAAGTGGCACCCTGCAGGGCCGGTTCTTTCCCACGTGCACAGCGTTTGTGAAGCTTGCAAATTGAGAAGTGTCTGTTCAGTGCATTCTATGTGTATCCTCGGAATCAAACAAGAATCAAGGGCGAAGCTGATCAAAGAATGTCGGCAGTATCTGAATTCTGGATTCCTCCTGCAGTATTCTGTATTCTGGACCTCTGACTCGATCCTGGCTGGACAGGTGCTCTTTTGGTTCTTTGACGCTCCTCACTAGGGTAGGCATTGAGGGCCTGTGCACCATCTCTGTCACAAACAAGTGTCCTGGAAGGCAAAACAAACGCCGAGCAACATACACACAAGCTTCCAAGCTGGCAAAGAGTTTATTTTCCAGTGGATGTTTGTGGTGGGAGTATAGTCTTGCGGGGGAGCATCTTAGTCTATCTGAGTTCCCTGGCAGTAGAGGTAGTGGCAAAAGGAAAGGGAGCTGAGCATAGCCCGACCTGCAAGTTCGATCGCACATCAGCTTCCAAGGTAGAAGATCCAATTCATGGTCATGATGTTGTTGTCCACAGCCCCAACAACTTCTTTTTGAGTTGAGTCTATGTCTATCTGTGCCATTAAAGACCTCAGCCGCTCACCCTGAACCTTTTCGTGGTCTCTCACCTCAAAGCCACCGCCGCCAGCGTGGTGACATCCCCCAGGATCAACGCCAGAACCGCCTGGCGAAGGATCCGTGTACGGACTTTCCGTCAGGCAACCCGTCAAGTGAATCTGTACCTGGAAGGTTGGCTGATTTGGGAGGGTGTCAGAAACTCTAGTTGCAGGGGTGAATCAGGAGAGGTCACCAAGATTAAATCTCTTCATGAGGGGAGATCACCAAGACATACCAAGACTAAATGTTTGTTCCCACCCCCAGGTGACCAAATTATTCGCGAGGGGTTAGGAATAGAGGGATTTTGGGGGGCCCCGTTAAACAAGGATAGTCAAACAATTGGTCCCCAAGAAAGGTTGACCAAACTAATTTGGGGGTCGAAACTTTTCAACAATGGGCTAGAATGTTTCTTGAAAGATGTCGTGTATTATTGCAGGACCCAAGGCAAACCACCATATTTGAGGGGGTATGCCAATCATTTGTGTGCATCACAAGGTGATGGGTTCAACAAGAGAGTCTCAAAAGGCCTTGCAAACTGGATAAAAACTTTGGCTCCCATTACGTCCGGGAAAGGCAAAACATCAGTTTGAAGGCTTCCTTGGATATCATTTTCCTGCAAACCTTCTCATGGCCTCTCGACACGCTCTAGACCGGAGTCAAAGTTCCAGGTCCTCTTATGCTGGATGGAAACTTAGAGGCGTCTGATCAATGCTTGCCTTCTTTACATGCAGCAAACATAGCGAAACTATTTCTCCATTGGGACAAGACTGTCTTCACCACCTTGATGTGTCACCGAGATCCGCACAACACTTGACTGTACTAGGTCTTCACAGTTCTCTGCTGGTATTGAGGGCAATTCCAAAGCAAGTCCAGCCTGGTTCCACAGGAGATACCAAAACGCTCCGCCACTATCAAAGCGAGGCACATGCACCTGAACCACAGGAGCTGCAAGCTTAAACATTTAGGAACGGGCAAAGGTTGTGGAGCACCAGAGTGAGTCGTTTGCCGCATCCGGATACACTGCACACGTCTGAGAGGTTTCGACGTAGAGGTAGCGCAAAGCCAGGACCAGCCATCGAAGCGCAAAGAACAAGGCCTGCAGTGCGCCCGAAAAGCTTAAACAACCGTCTCCAGCCTTCCTGAACCTCAAAAACGCAGGTCAATACATGTCAACACTATACAAAGCTGTAAGTCTTGCTATCCGATCCTCTCCTAGCTACACAACCATGTGTTCAGTACGTAGATGTTCAAACCAACCTTTATCAGATTGAGGCTGAGGGTTCCATCTCACGCCAATCTTCATCCATGAAACAAAAGGACAAAACTCACTAGAATCACAAAATAAATGCACGAAAAGAAATGACACCCTGAGGTGAATCTGCCCACCAATTAGATGCCGATATCCATTGATCAACTTTTGGACCGATTTGTCTGATTTCGGCGTCCGGACGCCCGCGAGGATGATGAGCGGTGCGATGGACGCATAGGTGACACACACCAGCAAGACCAGCAGCAAAGCCGACAGGTCGGCGGCCTCGCTCGCGAGGTCCGCGTCCGATGGTGGATTCGTCCGGAGCGGAACAAAGGGCATCGCGACTCGAAAAGCGATCGGACGCTACGAACGGGGCGCTCCTGGCATTACTACTAGTAACAAGAAGGCTACGAAGCTATTAGAAACAAAGGGCATCGCTGCAACATCCCATGGTGTTGCTTGGATAAGACTCCTTCTAAAACCAACACATGTCCGTTGCACCATCTGCTTCAATCCCCCCAAACGATGACTCGACCGGTTGAGTCATTGTTCCCTTTCCAAACAGAGGACAACCAAGGAAAGAGCACAAGGGGCGGCACAAGCCGTTTCATGCTTCGGATCATCGTTCGGAGCGGCACAAGGCCTTGATCTATCGGCTTCAGCCATTTCCTGGGTCTCCCGACCATTGGGGGAGTGTCCAAACAGTCCTCCGGGGCGACAAGCGGACTGGTTCGATTGGGGCGAAATCAAACCGTACCCACAGGAACGACGATTGCACGGGACAAGTTGCTAAGAAACCCATCAGAAGTCTCCTGAACTCAGAAATGTATGATTCATTGTCAACCCCACCAGGAATCCCCACAACTGTCTACAAAGAAAATAATTGGGTAGGCCATGATAAACCATGCAATCCGCAAACCACCCTGTCCTCCGCTGCCGCAGCCAGAAAGTTGCTTTCAGCCTGTGCCTCGCGGTGCGTTGCCGCGCAGCGCAGTGGAAAAGCCCCAGAACGAGCGAATTGTGGATGATGGCCCAGCATACATGAAACTCCTCTGGGTGCTGGTGCACCCGCCCTGAAAAGGACTTAAATTAAAAGAAAATGCGGGTCGCTGTGCTGTGAAGCTCCAAGGGAAAGAAACGACAATTGGTCAAGCTGCCGCAAGGCCTTCAGTACTTAGTTTTCTCTTTCGGCCGCCAGAGAATGATTCTTCACCATGTCTCTTATAGAACCCTTTCGAGTGAAAACCATGTTCCCCCGAAAAGCCTAAGGTTTTCGTCTCTTTCACATGACATAGCGAGGACGTCCTTGGACGTCCACCCTCGGAGCCGGTCCGAGCGGCGTCTTCTGCCACTCCCCCATCGACGGGTCTGGGACCGCGAACCGATGTGGAGGATCCCAAGCATAGAATCTCACGCAGGCGGCGCCTGTCAGGGCGGGAGCGACCGAAAAACCGAAGGAGAGAGATAAGTCGTGGTTCGTTCGTTTTCGTCCGGCCGTGTGGAGAGAGATATGTCTACTACTTAGTTACTTGATCAGGAACCATGCCCATGTTCAGCATCCCTTTCAATTCAACCAGTGTTTATCTATACTCTGCCCATAAACATGTGTAAATTGATTGTAAACTATCTTTCTTGCTCTGCGGAGTGGTTGGGCAGTCCCACACCCACGGACTGAACCTCTTTTCAAAAAAGAACTCTCTACCCTTCGGTGGGCCGAAGGGAGAGTTCGAAATCCGCCGGCAGCACGCCAAAGCTGTCCACGTGAGCTGGACCAGCAAGGGCAAACGGAGCAGACTCACAGGGCCCACCACCTGGACGGCCGAGTGAGTCGTTCGGATGGCGAGCGGAGTGTTTCATGGATGTGGAGCTGTACATCGCAAGAACAAAGGTTGGATCAACTGGAGCTTACATTATATATATATATATGCTGTATATTACAGTCAGTTGATGTCAGTTGTTTGTGTTGTATTCGTCGCACAACTCACAAAAGCATGTACTGCACAGAGAAAAACTGCAGAGTCACAGGCAGTGCTGTTGAGATTCTCACAATGTTTGTTTACAAGCGTTTAGAAGACTGAAATCAGTGCAATGGCAATGACCTCAATCAGTTATTAAAGCTTGGCAATTCTTCACCTTCCGTAGAGGACCCACCCACGCGGTGGTCCGCTTTTTTTCAGGCCCTGACTAGTGCGGATGAGAGCACCGTTGCGAGGAAGTAAACCGCCACTTGTGGCAGGCTTTGCCTGGGCGGTACAGCGAACACCGTGCCTGTGCACCCGATTCACCAAGCCACGATCGAAGCCCCGCAAAAGGAAGCAAAAACAACACTCTGTTTAGGAACCTGCTACTTAGGGCCTTTGCATGGGGCATTGCTTTGCTTAGGAAGTCATGTGTAGAGGTTAAGGGGAACTTTTTTCTCGCGCTGATTCCGCGAATTCGACAGCGCGAGCAGGCATTGGGTGCAGGCTAAAAACCATCCAAAAACCAGCCTGTCCAGTTGGGCAAGTTCGGTTTCCAGGTCCAGCGCTCTCATGGTGCGGCGCTGGACCTGCCCCCTTTGAACAGATGCAGGCGACCAGTAGGGTAGCATTCCTTGAATGAGGCAATATCCCTCCACTCTCATGACTAGACATGGGTCATTCTCCTCATGCCGGTGCCCTGCATGGAAATGGTAAATACTGTCCAGGCAGTTAAAAGGTTTAGTCTCTCTTGGAAAAAGGGCACGCAGGGCACATAGGGCACATGAGCCTCCACAAGTTCACAAATGTTCACCTACAAATTGTTCCCAATCTATCCCAAAACTCCTCTGAGCAGTGGCCTTTTTGGGGTGGCTATGGGGTCTAGACACCGGAAGCATACCCTTACATGCCAATAAGAAACGTTGCTCATCTGTTCCCCATATCCGATATATCCCCATACCTCTTGACCTCCAACCGATCAAGACCTCTGGGTGCCGGAGCCCAAGCTCCCAGAGCATGGAGGTGGGCTGGTCCAGCATGGCCCTGCAAAAAACCGATGATGACAATGACCAAGGGAGTCTTAAAAACCCCACTGAACCAGAACATACACACACACACAAAAGAAGGTGTTCAAAACAAAGAACACAAAGTCTGCCACACGACGTCGATCTCGGGGATTTGTGGCAATAGTGCCATAGACTACAGTGCCATGTGGCAGTGTGCCCTCAACAGGGAAGCTAAGCTGCATCCTGAATCCTAACACATCCTGACCAACTCTCGTGGACCCTTCAAACCCTAAACCCGTATGGCCCTAAGGACCCCTCGTCTGAAAACATCACGGTTGCGAGTGTGGCATCCATCTTCGGCATCCAGGTGACGTGGGTGTACCCCCTACTATAGGGCTCCTGGCCTTACTACTAGGAGCAAGGACGCTACTAGGGGCTCCTGGCATCGCTACGTATTAGGAGCATTCTTACTACTAGTAACAAGAAGCCATGTTTGCCTCCCCAAAAAGGAAGGAACGCAGCAACCCCATCTCTCTGGCGAAGAGAGAGAGAGCTCGGCGCTTTTCATGTTCCCTCTCAGGTTCCCAGCGTCAAGGAGTTGGAGACGCTCCCCGAAAGCACGGTGACACCAATGGTGGCCAGCTGAAACCGCCAATACCTGGCCAGCTGATGGCTGGGTACCGTCTGAGGACCTCATATTGAGGTGTATCTAGAAACGATGGCTTGAGTGGGAGATATCTGCTGGATTTCCCGCAGAGTGGGGGTATATTGAGAGGATGGCTAAAGAACCATTATAGTCTATGATATACGACCTCATGAGGTTGGTTTGTATAAATGGATGATCCACCGAAGAATACCAAATGAACCCAAATGAGGAACTCCTCCCGGTTTGGCGTTGCAGGTGTGGTCACTTCCATTGGGTGTGGTCACCTCCATCGCTTTGCCCTCTGAAAAAAAGTGCTATCGCGGCAGTGCTGAGCAATAAATCCAGAAAGGTTGGTGATCAGGTGGCCTTTGGCCACCAAAAGCACACCCTGATGGACTGAAGCAATATCCTGGACTGTTTTCTGTGCACCCAAATCATGGATGCACCATGGCACACATGGCACTCGTGACGTCGTTTTGGGGGTTGAACACTTGCCGATTCTTGTCCGCATCTTAGCACTGTTGATCTGAAACTTTCCCTGCTCAGGTGCAGGATGATTTTCCTCTCAACAGTCATTTCCAGCTTAAAAAATAAAAGCCCCCCTCTGGTCGGTTGTGGCTTCCCTCGGCGCTTACCCGCCCCCGCGGCTTACCGCCCGCCCGCCTTCTCATGGTCCGCATCTGCAAAGCGCTCCACGACTTCACGCCCTCGTAGCGTGAAGCCAAGCGGTGCCTAAAGCAGAGCCGAGGCGTGCGGCGAAAACCTTCGGAGCACAGCAAGCGGTGCGTGGTGCGTCCACATGTGAATGGCGAGCACTTGGAGCAACTGGTTTGGAATGGAAAGCTCTACCAGAGGGGCAACTGGTGAATGCGCTGTAGTCGCGAGTTGACTTTCTTGGAGGGTCTTGGGATGTCACGCCTGCTTCTAAGAGGATTCTATGTCTTTCGGTCGTTCTGCTCTTGATGGGCCTTCCGCACGGATTCAAGCAGATTTCTACACTACATATCTGGACATACTGACCATATTTCAACATCTTTATAGACCAAGGTGTGGAAAAAGAAGTTCGAGCATGTGCACAATGGTATCAGCGCTAGAGTGAAAACCAGAAATTGGCCAGTGCCTCTGACGTATCATGATGTATCCAATGCTGCCAGTCGTGGCACAATGTCGTCTCTCCAATTTGTGTAAGAAATGCCTATCTGGTCATGCTGGCAAGATCCCGCTGTTCAGTCTTCAAGCTGGTCCAAATGTCCAAACGGGCCCGGATGATTCGCAGGAACATGGAATGGTTGTCTGCTTTCCACCGAGGTCCACACAGCATGATTGGCAAGACTTCCAGTCTGAGTACGACGCTGCACGAGCTTTGAGGAATCAAGAGAAAGCACCAACAAAAAGTGAAAGGGGATAAAGGAAGAGATGTGCAAATATGGATCAGGAATCCCTCTTGTTCCCAGACCATCAACAGAAAAACTGCCATACTTCACCTCTTTGTAGGTCTTGCCGTCATGAGTGCGAACATGTGCGAACCAACACTGAGGCAACACAAGTCGTTGGACGTGTTTGGACGTCCGATGTCCTCCCACAAAGGTGGACACCCAGGTGACCGCGGATGGAACCAGTTCTGCTGCAGTTGATGATATTCTTTGTGCCTCCTTCTCCGAAACGTCATGAAACTATCTCACCAACTCACTAAGGAAGTGGCAGTGCCAAGAGCGCCAGCACCTATAGCAGCAGGTGCGATGAGCGACAACGATAGCATCAAGAAGTATTAAACATGTTCGGTGCAATGCAGTTAGGGCCGGCTGAATTCTCTCACAAAGTGATTCATGAAAATACTATAGAATCCTATAAGACGCCTGGCAGGGTAGAACTGAGAAGGTCCAATCAAACATGCAGCACTAAGAGCGCAGCTGGCATGTACAAAGTGACCAAAGCTTCCAAATCGGTCCCATGCATCTGGCACGAACGGCGGACAATGAGATGTGAATGTTGTTAGAGCCGAGAGCCCAAAGGATCGAGAAAAAAAACAGGAGGAAACCAAGGACCCAAACGAACAGAACCATAAGGTACCGGGTTCTCATGAAAAATGTTTAAAATCTATACTAACTATAAAACATTGCATTGTTCATCATTTTTCAATTGCTCAGCTATCTGAGGGTCAAAGCCTGCTAGCTCAATAAGACATGATAAAACCCCATGAATACAACATATGTGAAAACCATTTTGGAGGACCTGTAGAGTGCAACAGACTGCCCAAGTCTCATGAAGCACCGCTGGAAGCACTGATTCTGGAAGCTGAAGCCAAGGAAGAATCTGCGATAGCCGTGCCCAAGAACACCAAACCTGCAGGCATTCGGCGGCACCGAATTCAAGCTTCAGCCAAGTTCACCCTCCCTCCATCAGATCCGTGGTGGACTGTGATCCCGGATCCACACATAGGATCCACACCATCCTATAGATAGATCCATGATGATCCATGCGTTCTGCCAACAGATTCAAAAAAACCCAAACAGAAAAAAGAAAGGAAAACCTTTGCACAGCGAAATAGAAAGCCTTCCTCAGCTATTGGAAGTGATCGAGAAACGTGATGGGTTTCCCGGGGTCCGCTGGGTGCGCAGCCGCTTCCCCCTTTCCCCAGTGGCCTGTAAGAGCGACACTGGCACTGACCAGAAAGCCAAGCCTTGGCAGTTTCTGAACATTGCTTGAGCCATGCTCACCTCATAGTACAGAAAAGCACCACCCCAAAAGGAAAAAAAGAGGATTATGTATGAGCTATTTGTATATGTACAGTATATATAAACGACTATAAACGGTTTTACATCGCTATAGAAGCAATCCAGAATCGTCAAAGACTATTGCTAACTCCATTCATCGATTTGCTGAGGCCAGCGCCAAACAGCAGCGCGATCTCAACGAAGAATTGCCGCACCAAGAGTTGGGTCTGCCGATTTTTTCCGGGACGAGTTGGGATCATGAAAAATCTGCGGAAGTAGGTTCCACCAACAGCCTTGCTTTCATATCCCTCATTGTTATTCAACTGTTGTTCAGATCCCTCAGCTTTGGTGAAGACAGCTTTGTTTTGTTGTTCACACTGTTTCAACGTCAGTGGTGCCTAACAGCCGACCCCAAGCACAAGTCTTTGATCCTACACATGCCATGTGTAGCCTCCCAGGTCCCGGAGACCAGCTTCCTTCCAGTGCTCCCAAAGAATCTCAGCGCCTCGGGTCGTGCCACGTTGTGCCAAACCAAGTCCCGTGGCTCTGGTGCCGGGAAAACCTGCATGCCAGTGCCCAGCACGGCATCCTGCCGCTCGGGGGGATGCGATCTTTTTGGGTGGCATGACTTGACCTAGTAGCTGCTTGTTAGCTTCTTGTTCCTAGTAGCGATGGCCTCCCACATTCAAAGGATTTGTTCAAAGCCCAAGTCGACATAGAGCCACGAGTTACTCTCAGAACGATCCGATACGTTAAGGGCAGAACCCTCCGATTCGACCGGAAGCTCCGAGAGAAGTTATATATTGACAGATTATTTGTCTGTTCGAAGTGTTTTAAGCAGAAACTGTAGCCTGCAATGTTGAAATCGACCTATAGATCCACTCGTTCTTTTCCTTGTGGCAAGCAGGTTCCATAGCAGCTGAAGCAGTACCTACTGCCTTCAATATGGTGGTGAACCATCGGTGAAGGTGACCCCTTCTGGACCTCCTTGCCGTTCACAGCTGCAAGTTGGATTCAAAATGAGCAGCTGAAAGGGAAAATGGATGAAAATGGATTGAATCTGATGTTGCAGTGCCATTGCAAACTGCTGCGCTGTATTTTTTGTACAGCTAAAGTAAAGTGGAGAGCACACAGGGCAAGACCTCGAAGGGTTCTTTGCTCTGCTAAGCTAAGCTCTGCTAAGCACCTTGCTGCTCGTGTAGCACTGTGACTCCAGCACGTTGTACCAAGGGTATTGGTACCTTTGATTCGGAAGCAGCTTCAGGGCATTTGTCGGCTTAGTGTTTAGGTATATGTCATGTCGCCTGTTGGATCCATTTTCATATACGTTCTTTGCTTCTGAACACACCCATATCAGAATGTCACAATGTCATTTCAATTGGCGCCATGAGAAGAATCGGATGGAAGTGACAACTCCCTCTACAGAAAAATAAAAAGAAAAAACGTCTTCAAGACCCACAAAGGATCAGGGTTGATCATCTGTAGATATGTACCTTGAATCCGCATGGGATCCTTTGAATCCGGAGAAACGCTTCATGAGAATGGTGGCACACGTCAACATGGTGGCACAAACAAAGAATGCACTCCAAGGTGCCACTTGCCCGGAAGCCATCAAACCCTGGACTGTCTGCACATGCCGCGCGCTTTCCTGAGAACAGTGAATCTAGGAGGTCTTGAAATACACAAACAGTAGATGTTAGTGGAGTGCTTGCTAACAGGAGTGGGAATTGGCACCAACTGTGCACCAACCCATCGGAATCCAGCCAGGCACTTCCCAATGATTTGAGATTGGCACTCTTACTGCCATTTTTGCTTTCCACCACCTGACCAAAACGGACTAAGCCTGTTTTTGGCCCGGCCCGGTTCTTAATCAAGTTTCCCTAAAATCTAGGAACCGAGTCATTAGTGCGAGCGCTTCTTCAAGGAAGCTTGCCTCCATATTTGTAGTAGCGGCCTATTGCTAGGAGCGAACTACAACAAAATGAAGCATGATGGTTTGGTGTTCAGCTGTTGACACATGTTGATGCCCATGCCGCCCATGCCCATGTCGAGGATCCGGGTTTTCAGCTTCGAACTGAGACCAAAGCTCTGCCAGCTGCCTGAGAGCCAGGTCAGGTAGGTTGGGTCGGCGATTGAGTTGATGGGGTCGACACGGTGAAATTGGATGTCCGATGGTCGACGTGTTTCTTCGGGTTGACCGTCTGTCAAATCTCCGGAATCGTCGGGTCCAAATCTGAGCGGTGCATTACTTGTTAGTAGTAAGAATGCTACTAGTAGCGATGCCAGGAGCCCCTAGTAGCGTCCTTGCTCTGCTTGAGTGAGCCTGGAGGTGATGGAGCTGCCTTGAGCTTTGGAAGCCAAGAAATTCTGCCATCCGAGCAAGGCGGCCTGCTGGGGCGGCAGGTCGGCGAACCGAGGGCGGGCGGGTCAGTGGCTTAGGTCAAGAGTAGTGGATTAAGAAGAAGACACCGGAAAAAAAGCCTGCCTTTGTGAGTGAAGCAGAAACCGTAGAAAAGGATACTAGCCAAGGTAGTAGCCAACTCTCATGACTAATTAGGTTTCAAGGGAACCTACAGCAATAGCAATGGCCTCCAACCTACTAGCGATGGCCTCCAACCTAATAGCGGGAAGAATAATATATAATATATATATATATTGGTTTGCTGTTTAAAAAAAAAAGAAAAACTTTTGATCTGGGCCACTAATGTCGCGGCCCAAGACGGCACCTGCAAAGCAGGTGGGAGCTCAGACTCTTGTCTAGGGCCTCGATGTCAGTTTGCCAAACAGTGAGCCTTTCGGAAATTCGCGGGATCTTGTTGCACAAATCATCGTGACAAATGAAGCCAAACACAACCACAGAAACTCAAACTCCAAGATTCTTAAGATCAGAGTCTGTAGATGTCTGTAGAATCCAAACAAGTGTTTCCTGACAATTGCATCTAAAGATTCCAAAGAGGTTTGGTTGATCTCTCCATCACTTCCGCAGGTGGTTGACCGTTCGTCTTGTTCTTGACACAAACCCGTCTGCCCAGTCGCAAGAAAGTCTTAGACATCTCCAAAGGTGTGCTGTTACCTCTATTGTCCCTTCATGTCCCTTCTATTGGTGGCATGCCGTGTTTTGTCACTAGCCAGAACATCTCAATCTCAATGTGCACCACTCCCAGCCCCAGAGATTGAAACCCAACTGCATTCGACACCTTACTTGGGAAATACACTCGGTCAACGTCTTGTCACCCTGCTGCGCTGCTCTTTTCGCCAGGCCACCTTGTCCCGTGGCCAGGCGCCGTTTGGCAATGATGCGATCCACGAGCCATTTCCCCGCGCCGATGCCTCGCAGTCACCGTATGTCACGCGACGGCGAGGTCGCGGTATGTCTCATCTTTCCAACACAACTCCCGGAGAAAGAAGCTCCAACCTAGTAGCGATGGCCTCCAACCTAATAGGGATGGCCTCCACTGACTAGCTCCTGGCTACTAGCCAACTCCCGGAACGCCCAGGCCTCCTCAAATCCACCAAGTCATAGGTCTAACCCGAACGCCTCTGATGGCCTCCGAACCCCGCCTGCGGCCGTCCCTGCGCCGATCCACACGGCGGTGCCCATGGTCACCACGCCGGTGGCCGCGCCCAGCAGCGTCCCCAGGCCGATGGCCGGAAGCATGGAGACCACCCCCGGCGGGCCCTGGCAGGAAACGTGAGGGTATCTACAGGAGAAGAAGTGATCTAAAGGAGCCAGAAGCATCTCTGTGATCTTATATTGTCTTTAAAAAATATTGGCAGGGATGGATCAGGTGCTTTAGGATGGACCCAACTCATCCCAAATCTACCTTCGTGATCACAGGATGGCCAGTATCACCCGTCATGGATGGCATTGCCATGCATTGCCCAACTGCACAACTTTTTTCGGACTCACCTCACCGAGTGACTCCACTGGGTTTTCTTTCCTCAGAACCCTCCCCAACTGAAGGAAACCCAACAGAACTCTGAAGCCAATTCTCAGTCCTCCCCGTCGCGGTTTTCAGACATGGCCACTGGGCGAGGCCGCCAGGCCCGAACGGCGCCCAGCTGGGCGGTACAGCTGGGCGGTACAGCTGGTCTTCCGCCACCGCTGGTGGTTGTATGAGGTGTTTAGAGAGCTGTAGAATCTGAAGAGGATCATTGACAACATTCAGCCTCTTCACAGCCTTCACTTGATCTGTGAAAAAACGAAAGGTATCCCTCATGTGATACTAAAAACAAAAACACCCATTTTACATGGTCCAAGTTTGTTGTTCAGAGTAAAGATTACTCATGACTCGCAGGAACCCCTCACAGTGCGTTGAGCCAAGCTGTGCGAGCAAATCTTAAGACCTTCCAATGGCTTGAATGTGCTGCGTGTCAAGAATCAACACTTGAACGGTGATATTCTCCACTGTTAACATCACCCTTCCACGGAGTAAACCATCACCATCATCACTTTAATATTCATGACTGATCTGATGTCTATAATCAGCTGACAAACACCTCGACTTGAAAACTGTTAAAGCAAAATAGAGAAGCCAACGAGTTAAAAATGCAGGCAACTCATGCAACTCTGCACTCAGTTCAAAAAAGGTTTTGGCTCCAAATGCACAGATGTCTGACTTGTTGCTACTGCGCTCCTCATCCAAAACCACCTGACATGCCACACAGGCAGCCTGCAGTGACTCACTCGCTTGAATGATCGGGGAAAAGTGTTTCCTTCGAAAAAAACAGCGATTCGAAAAACGTATAATCATGAACGATCTATAGCCTAAGCCTATACTGTAATCTTTAACTAAAGTGATAAAAATGCAAAATTCCAAGGCCACACGATCCCACACGGTGCCGGATCGAAACGGGAGGGGAAAAGCGCTCCGAGTCTTTCTCGCTGTCTCCGAGCGGTTTCGGTGGCCGCCTGAAGGGTTCGAAAGGTCACGAAGGCCGTGGAGGGCAATTCCTCGCTGGCTCGGATGGCTCAGTCTTCCGGCTCGGTCGGCTCCGTGTTCCGTGTATTTCTTTTCCATATGGTGTTTTCTGGTGTTTTTTCTCGGCTTTTGTGGATGTTTTATGCGATTTCGGTGCGTATCGGACCTGTCCCGGCTAGTCCACCCGCGAGTTCAACAACACTTCTGGGAGAGCGCGCGAGAAACAGTGAGGCGAGATGCAAACATTGCAATGTGATTCGGAGCGAACGTATAGCTTGTTTCTGCTGCAGCTCGGTAGGGGGTTCCCCATGCGAAGGTTCCACATGCCATCTGTGCTACATCACTTCTGCCAATCTGTGCCATCTGTGTGCCGTCTGTGATGCATCGGTGCGTCCTCCTGGCTACAAGGTCCAAAGCTAACTTGTCGGTCACCCGGCACAATGCCACCAACTGGTGTACCTTCAGTGAGCAACGGGCCACAGAGATTCAGAAGGAGATGTGACCGTTGAAGGAGATGTCTGCAGAACTCCTACAAGAAAGTTTAACTCTCCAAATCTATCCAAATCTGCTGTCTTTGATGTCTTCATCCACTTTGAAAACATTTGAACACCATGTCTACAAACCACTAGCCGTTTACATCCACCAACGCTCAACCACGTCTACTCAAGAGGTGCATCGGTCAGTCGAAAACATGCCGTGGCATTGTCCACTGTTGATGCAGAAAGCCACACACCAGCTTGAAGACAGGTCCGCTGGTGTTCACGTGGATCGGGCTGTCAAATGGTTCAGGGATTTGGACTATTATAGCACATGTTCTCCTGTCAGGTGAAAACATCTAAGCCACAATTGCTGCAGTTTCATCACCACCCCCACCTTGATACTCGCCGCAGCACTCGCCGAAATGATGCGCAAACAACGCGCACGACGCGCACGCGCACGAACGCGCCCCCAACGCGGCACCGGGTTCGCCGGGTTCGCCTGTTTGCGCCGGTGTCTCGAGGGCAGAGGACGGGACAAGTGCATTGACTTGTCGCAACGAGGTGCCTGGCGCCATCGGTCCAGCGGGTCGAAAGTCTCGACAAAAGGTGGAGGGATGTCCGCAAGGCCCAAAAACTGTAGAAAACTACGGTAACTGTGAGAGATTTGAGTGGGTCCTGGTCTGTAAACATCATCAGTTCGAGAAAGTGCTTTAGGGTCAGTCGTCGCCAAACCTCTTTTCGCATCAAATTAAAGGCTTCCAACATGTGCTACTGCTTGGCGGATCGTCGCTCCATTGATACCCTTGTCGGTACAGTCAGCACCTTGTGCCCAATGACCATCCAACACGTTGTGAGTTGATGTGAGTTGATGTGAGTTGTGAGCCTGCAACTTCTTTCATCACCCAGCTCACAATCCGCAAGCTTGTGCACAGTGCACGGCAGCCAGTTCTACAACTGAGCCTTGGTCGAGTTGGTGACTCATGTTCGATTAAGCTGTCGCTGCATATTTGCTGTTCTCATGATTTGGATGTGCACGTTGCACTGCCAACCCAACTTTGAAGAGAATAACTCATCCATAGTCAAAGGCAAGTCTCACACCATCTATTCATTCTAACCATAGCAAATGGTAGGTTTCTCAAGTTTCTTTTATCATACGTGAAATCGTCGGAGCCCGCAGGAGATTTTTCCCTGCTTGGTCCGGACAAATCTGGGTTCAATCGCCCAAAAGCTTCCGAGCCGGAGCGGGTCAGAAAAACAGACAGGAGCAAGGACGCCACTAGGAACAAAGGGCATCGCTACTAGGAACAAGAAGCTACTAGGGGCTCCTGGCATCGCTACTAGGAACAACAAAGCTACTAGGAGAAAAACTTATATGTATATATATAGGTATATATGTATAGAGATATATATATATATAGCGCTATGTTGGAGGCCAGCCAGTACTCTAGGAGTTACATGTCGGGGTGCTATCCATGCAGGAAGTCAGGGTCCAGGGTGCTCAGATTATCCACTCACTGGATGGGACGAGCCATACCACCCCGACATGTGACTCCTGGTATTGCAAGATAAATCGAAGAGAAGTGAAGAGAGTCATCGAACCAATCAATATCCATGAACAATCCTAGCATCCTGATCTCTCCTTCACGAAACCATCCACCACTACCAAAACTACCCCTGTCAAAACTATTCAAATAACATCTCTATCTCTCTCTCTCTCTCTCTCTTGTCCCTCATTTCCCCCCCCAAAAAAAATAACACTCCCGGTCGGTCGGTCGGTCGGTCTACACCGTTCCTCCGCCCAAACCACCTGGGCGTCCCGGGCATCGCTGTGGACGCCCAACCCAAACAGTTGGAGCTCCGCACCGAGCTGGTGGAGCCTGCGACACGGCGAAACCGGTGGAGTGGTGCATGGTCGCGGACGCGATGATCGGGTTTGACCAGCAGAGACACCCTTAAAAGTAGGTCTCAGACCCTAGTTCCTAGTTGATTTCTTCCTTCCCTTTCGACCGTCGACCTTCCAGTCGACCTTCTTCGATCCGAACCGGGCGACCGTGAGTCATGGCACCTTCCCAACCATGGTAGGTTGACATGAACATAGAGGAATCTGCTCATAGTTACAAGAGGATGCTACTAGGAACAAAGGGCATCGCTACGAACGGAGCAAGGACGCTACGAACGGGGCGCTCCTGGCCTTACTACTAGGAGCGAAAGAAAACATGGTGCCCGGGTGCCATCCCACAACCATGTCTCTCTCACGGCACAAAATGCGTTCCATTTTGCTCAGCTCCAAGGGCTCTCGCCCGTGAGACCTGACCTAGGTGGCCCAGCAGCCAAATACTCCTGGCGGATCTACGTGTTGTCATGGCAAAAGATTCTAGGAGGAAGCTGCATTTTAAAAATAGTAAAACTATGTAAAACTTGCTGTAACCCAGCTTTTCTAGGCTTTTCTGATTCTATTGGAAAAAGGGAGCCAGAAGTATTACTGTAGAGAAGGGTCGCTTTCAGCTTTGCTTCTGTGACAGGAAAGGGTCAACAGGTCCGGCTGCAGACCCTTGCTGTTGACACCGACCGAGATCATTGCAGCGTTCTTTGGGAACTCTTGTAGATGGCTGTCTGTCTTCCATATGTTTCCAACTGGATTGTGGGACCAAATCCTTCATTAAGGTTCATGACTCCCTGGAAACTCAACAGAAATGGAACAACTTTCCTCGCGAGCAATATTCTTTGATCATTGTCGAGCGATGCTTTTCGTCGTCTTCCTGGCTGAAGCGCCGCTGTTTGTCTTGACTCAATCCAAGGCAAAACAGTCCCAAACATGTGCACCAGCAGAAGACCCTCCCTTACAATCAAACCTTGGTCCTTACAGCTTCCGTAGGTCCAACCGTCGAGGGGTTGACAATGCTTGAACCAGCCGATCGGCCCAACCCACCCGAAAGTCCTCAAAAGGCCCGGGGTCTTCCTCGCTCCTGCATCTTCTGCAGTAAATCAGATTGCAAACCTTCTGGAACCTCCATCTTCTTCGCTGCAAGGTTCATCAAAGTCCTTGGCAGCCGTGTTTGTCTCTTGTCTAACCCAATAGCGATGGCCTCCACCCTAAGAGCGCTGGCCTCCACCCTAAGAGCGATGGCCTCCAACCAGCAGGTCCTGGCATCTCCCTTTGGTGTTTTGGAATGGGCTGACTCGGATGAGCCAAATCAGCGATGACCGTCCCGACCCAGCGTAGCTGATCAAATGCCAAGCGTAGTGGAGCTGGAGAGGCCCTGGGTTCCCCTGACTCCTCGTCGCATTCCATCAGCTTCGCCCAAGCTTGCTGGTCCTCCGGGTCGTTCCAAGCGTAGCTTACTAGCCCCTTCAACAAGAGTCTAACAAGACTCAATTTTGCATGATGGAAGTCCTACAGGTCTGGATAGGGATGGAGGTCCTACAGGTAACTATATTATATAGCCTTGGTGGCAGCCACCGTTCTTCTCAGAACATCTTAGAACAACATGTTGGTCAGGGAATGTCAGGAGCTACCACAGTAAGCTTCATGGTGATCATGGTGCTGATATGTGGCAAGCACATCGCCAGGTGACATCCTTCACGAAAACCAATGGATCTTGACTTTGGGCCAGGGCACCTGGCCACTGGTCCCTAGACAAACGGGCTCCCGGTCCCTCAGAAGCAGGGGGGTTTTAAGAAAAGGGAAAAACGGGGAGGGGTCGACTCCTGCATTGCGACGTTTCGTCGAGTCTCTCCGTTACGCTTCGCCGCACCAACCGAGTGCCACGCAGTGCCACGCAGTGCCACGCTGTGCCACGCAGTGCCACGCAGTGCCACGCAGTGCCACGCAGTGCCACGCAGTGCCACGCAGTGCGCAGTGCCACGCAGTGCGCAGTGCCACGCAGTGCCACGCAGTGCGCAGTGCCACGCAGTGCCACGCAGTGCCACGCAGAGCGCAGTGCCACGCAGTGCCACGCACTGCTACGCAGTCCGCAGTGCCGCGGGCTGACCACTCCTCCGGTCTCAGCTCCACCGCCTCCACGAAGCCCAGCAGGAAATCTGCCAGGAGCGGCTCCGAGCGAGTCCGTGCCTCGGAAGAAGCGAAGGCGCGACAGACACCGAGCGCCCAATGGCGCGCGATTACAAAGAGGCGAGCGAGATCCGAGATCCAGATCTTTCTGTTGGGAAATCGACAAGACCTGAGCTATGACCTGTGAAATCCGGTGGAATGCTTTGTCCTCTTCGAGTCTATCATGTCTCATGAGCCGCTCCCTTGAACAAGCAAGAAATACACTTCTGGTGGGACAGAGACAGTGAGAACTTAAGACCCTCTGGAAGTAGGGAAGTCTGTTGAAATACACACATTAAATATCCAAATTCAACCCCCCCCATGTTTCCATCAGAATTGACATGACCGCCAGCAGGATGGTGTCTTCCCGTCTTGTTGCGTCTCCAGCGAGCCTGGTACAGCATCTTCTTTCCTGACACGGTGGGACACCCTCGCCAAGTCTGGGCAACACGCTGAGGAACCTCGCAATATCTGTGTCTTTCTAATCTTTCTATGTCATATGCCCGGAAAGCGGAAAAAAAGTCTACAGATGTCTACAGTATATAGGTATACAAATGTCTCCGGCTCATGAATCCAATGAACAGGACTCCTACTCCTCCTTCTGTTGGGAACGGCCAATAATTGACTGAAAAACCCATGGGTCCATGTCAATCATCTCAGTGAGCCGGGGTTCTCGGACGTGCGGGAGACTGAGAGCATCCAACAAAATGAAGACATAAGGCACGACAAGACATTTAAAGCTCCGCCATGTCTTTTTTAGAAGGCTCAACTAGTTCTTCGGTATCTTCAGAGATCCCCAAAGAGCATGACTCACCTATCCAGTTTTCCGCTTTGGGTGAAACAAGTTCTCCCGCACCAAAAAGAAAAACTTAAAAACATGGGGATCCGAAAATGTGTTTTTTCTCAGTGAAACACTGGATCCAGCAATTTGCTGGATCTCCGGCGCAGGAGCATGAGTCTAAGATAGTCTAAGAATACCTCTCAACAGTAGTACGTGTGATGCGTGGCATCCCTCAACGCCCACTCCATAGTAGCACCAAGCTGCTCAATCGAAGTGCCACTTGGTACGATGGGTCATCTGTGGATGACCACCTGCATAGGACCTCGCTGGGACTTGGGTCGTCCCCCTCACCCCTCAGAGCAGTGGACGCTCCAAGTTGTTCAGGACCATTTTGAAAGGTTCTTTTTAGAAGGACAAGTCTCGTTCCCCATCCGAAAGCGTTTAGAAGGATAACCGTTGAAGGCTGTCGGTTGCTGTCGGGGCGTCCGAGACCGTGCTCATGGGGTCTCCTAGGAATGAGCGGGTCCGTGCGGCGTCGAGACCGTGCGGTGCGGACCCGATCGAGCCAGAGATGGTCCGGTGTCCGGTCGAAACCGGGGGCTCGAGAGAGGGAGAGAGGTATGACTTCAAATGACACACAGCATTGGTTGGCTGATAGCATTGGTTGGGGGATTGAAGAGGAAAGATCAAAATTTCGCCGACAAGAAGTGGATTGGAACATCTGGAAGACCAAAATAATAGACGCGGCCAAATCACCCGCCGAACACACCCACAACTTCCACACGGCCATGTCTCTTTGCCTCGTTGTTTTACGGGCTTCGATGGTTGTACTAGTAGTAAGGCACCTTGGTACTGGTAGCTTCTTGCTACTCGTAGTAATGCCATTCTTACTAGGAGAGAGGAGCTACTACTAGTCATGCCCTTTGCTACTACGACCCGTAGCTTCTTGTTCCTAATTAGTAGTAATGACCTTTGCTACTATAGTAGCTTCTTGCCACTAGTAGTAATGCCCTTGTTACTTATGGCGATGCCCTTGTTACTAGCAACCCATAACCCGAACAATGAGGACGTCAAGTCGAGTCACCAACGCTGCTGGCGTCAAGTGATGAGGACGTTGCGATGGGAGTCGCATTAAGGCCTTTTGTCCTCAACAGGCAAAGCATGTTGATCAGTCGAAATCTATCTGTGAAACCAAAATCCGTTTGTGACTGGTTAGTGACCTGTTGTGGCTAAATGCAAAGTTTCTTCTCTCACTCCTTCTCTTCTACTCATAAATCTGGAATGTTGTCATACCTCATACCCATCTATCTTACCCATCTGGTTGCATCCCAGACTGAAGAAAGCCAGAGACAAAGACATGCCTCTTTCCTGCGGCTTAAACTCACGCCTTGATGACCCAGTAACCGGAGCATGGCTGGGTCCGCGCACAGACAGGTCGCAAACAGACGGGTCGCTCTCTGTTCTTCGCAACACGGGTGCAGACGGTTACGACGGTTACGACTGTCCCTTGGTAGACCAATTGGACTGCGGGAAGTGGTCTTGGTTACTTGCTACTTGATCTACTTGGTTACTTCACCACTAGTTGATCAACTATTCTGATCACATCTGATAACATGGTGTCTGGAATGCACACTGATTCTCAGGCCAGTGAGATGCTGAGATGCAGGAATGGATGGCACAAAAAGGAGTCACACAGTCAGACTGAGTACAATGAGTATAAGCAATTACAAATTGTTAATAGTCCAGCTATAGCTCAAGCCAAACGGCTACAAACACTTTGCAGATGAAACATCATGAACCCCAACAACCAGGAGTCTCTTCATTGCAAGTTGCGATGCTTTTCAGCAGTCACTCACGGACAAATCAAGCAACAGGACCCTGGGTAACCTTTTCATGCCACGCCTATGCTTTCGCTGTGCCTGTCGGTGTTCAGACACTCATGGCAGCGGTTCGGAATTCTCCTACTGCAGCTTGTTGTATTGCCTGTATACATCTTACATGTTGCATCTCAGCTCATGTCTTCTTGCAGAAGGAACACAAACGAACACAAACGTCATGCTTTACCGGTCCAAGGACGCGACCGCATCATCCTGCGTCGGCCCTGACAAAACGGACGGGTATGGTCCACAGGCCTAACCAAAAAGAGGTCTCTACAGTCTCTACTGTGCTCCCAAAACAAAAACAAAAGTACAAAGATGTTCAAAGTGCATCCATATGCATCCACACCACATGCAGATTGATGAGCTGGACTGTGCTGGAATCAAAGGGAAGCCTCACAACTGTCTCAGTTTCTTCCGATTAGGTAAACCTTACCCTGGATGAGCAAACGAGCTTTTCGCAAATGCTGTCAACAAGTGCTGACCAAAAAGGTCTGGCAATCATGATGTAATGTAAGTGATGTAAGTCTTAGATGGCAAATCAGCAAAGCCCTCTGCTCCCAATCGAACCATGGAAAACGAAGAAAACGAAAGGCAGCTGAGGCATGGACTCGCTCGGGAGTATGAGTTGGCTCCACAGATTCTGGCAAGCTGAAGACTGAAAGGAAGGAGGCGGGTCCTGCATGCGGCTGGGGCGAAAAAGAGAGGGCTCCCGGCTCCCGGGGATGAGGTGGCTTCCTTGAAAACAAATGAAACAAGAAACTACCCACAAAGAGGACCCGGCGTTGCTTGTACCGTGACGAGGTTTGGCTTTCTGCAACGGAGAGGAAACGGTTTGGCTCTGTGCAAGCAATCTTGAAACTGCGAAGTCTCAAAGTGTGCAGTGTATGGAACCTTGGGTATCCTGCAGTGACAAAAGTGACATTGGAGAGGAATTGGTATCAGGATCAGTCTTTTTATAGAACCTAAGTGTGCAGTCACAATTGTCCGGGAAAAAAGAATCATAAAAGTTACATTGGAGATTACACTTGCTTCACCACATAAAGCGAATTGGTTGATGCCGGTTCCACAAGAGCTCAACACGCACATGTTCAGCTCCTCACTTCAGAGTCTTAAGCTGGACCCGCTTGGGGAAGATCCATATTATGCCCCAAGACTCTAACCTAGCATTATAACCTTAGCATCTATTTTTTCGAAGAAAAACTACCAAAAAGAATCAAACAAAAACACATTTACGCCCCTCCTCCTGCTCCTGGACCAAATCGCAAGGTCACCCTCGAACTTGTCATGGCCTGTGAAGAGTGGTGGATTGGGCCAGAATCCGCTGGATTGAACCAGACTTTGGCCAACCGCAAAAGAAGTCGATGTACAAAGAGGCAAGAGGCACTGGTGGGATGGAGAAATTGACCTTGGAAGAGATTGTGGGTAGCCATCAGATTGGAGAAGCCTGGCATTGAAGCACTTGTCTTGGAGACATGAGTACTGTAGATGTGTCCCCACAAGGTGAGTTGTTTGTCCATCTTCCCTTATAAGGAGATATGCTGGGAGGTGCAGTCTGCTACTGAAGTAGACTCGTCAGATCTAAAGATAATGAGTATCTGAAATGATGGGTTCACCCAACATGAATCAGACTAAAATTGCCAAAATGCGATACCACTTAGGTTGATCCGCTCAAATCCCTGGTGAAGAACGTCTATTTGACATTATATATATATATATGTATAAAACCTCATGGCATTTGAAACGGGACGTTTAAAAACATCGTTCATTTCCTCCCACATCTCGTACCTGCCGTCACTGAAAGCAGTACTCACGTCACGTCGTGAGCCCCGACCCTTGCGAAGTCGTCTCGGCGTTCCGCCAGGCGATCCTGGCGGCGCAGGTAGTGACGGTGATGACATGCACAAGGGAGAGTCCAACAAACAACAAACTAGTTAGGACCTATTGAAAGCGAGACTCGACTATGCCTGAGCACCAGCTTTGTCGCTGGTTCAAAACCTGTGTAGCGCTTCAGGAACTACTCTTAACGAAACACATGCTGAAACTGAAACTTGAAGCCAATCCAGCGGGGTCTTTAGAGAAACTCGATGGTAGCTTGACCAAGTATGAAAGCAACAGGAGCCATGCACTCCGTTTTAACGTGAATTAGTAACTCCGGGTCTCGTCAACCAGTGACTTCCCAAGTGCCTGTTATCATGCGTTGTGCATCTGAGTGACGTCTTTGATTTCATTTGAGCTCAAGCTATTGCAACCTGTTCCCTGCATCACCAAAACACGCAAAGGAAGTCCTGAAAGGAGAGAAGCTGTTGTACAACACAAAACTCAATAGGACTATAACAGACTTTCCGAGATGGACCTACTAGGTGAGACGCACGTGACATGCCTGTGACGCCCCCCCTGCCTCCATCCTCATCAGCAAGACTTTTGAGAGCTGAGTACTTTGACTCCTCAATTTGTTGCGCTCCTCCATACATTCTGACCTCGATGGCTTGTGGCCGTGCCGGATCTCGGATCCAAGAATCTTCCATTGGCCTAGCAAATCGGTTGGAGGAAATGAGAATAAATGAAATCATCCTGTGACAAAAATGGTGAGATCGTTCTCAAACAGAACCTCGCCACTTCCCTGCTGAGCTCCCTGCAAACGTCTGGCATCTGAGGGGGCAAAGGCCACACAGAGCACGGCGTTGTGACCCAACAAATCCTCCAAGCAGCTACGCAGCGCACCTGCAGAGCGTTGCTCCTTTTACGCAAGGGGAGGCTGGAAAGGAAGGTGACCAAGGACCCCTGGCCACGTGATGGTCATTCACGTGGATGGTGGTGAAGAATGAATGGATTTCCTCTCCAATCCACGGCGAGACATATGCTGGGTGGTTGATGATGGAATGGGTTCATGTAGATACATCAAGATCATCTATATGGAGATTGACATGAATGACTCAACCGAGAAGAGTGTGCATCTAATATAATTCCTGAAGCTGGAGCCAAAAGCATCTGATTTAAAGCAATTCTTGCAAGACTCAAAAAATGTCAGTAAAAATCTCAAACGTCTGTGAGAATGAGGTATTGCCATGTATTGCCCACCTTGTGGGCTTTTCTACGTGACAACTCACGTGAACCAAAAAGAAAGTGGCGACCGATATCACAGTGGGACCACCGTAAAGTCCTTCCTTCAATGGGTGTATCAAAATAGGGAGACGCCCCCAAAGACGTCATGGAAGAAGGACGGTTGGAGACCTCCCTATTACACACCCAGGTTGGAGACCGTATACTCTCAGTAACAAGGACGCTACGAGTAAAAAGCTCCTGGCATCGTAGCTCCTAGGAACCCGGGCATCGCTACTAGTAACAAGAAGCCTCTTCCAGCACCACCCAAAGGGTGGTGTATAGACCCCCCTGAAGATGTATTTGCTATCCAACAACCACCCAAGGAGGGTGGTGCTGGTTGTTAGCTTCTTGTTACTCGACCCAAATCGATCTGCGTCGACGTTTCGCTCGCACGTCGCTCGCCTGGATCCCGCAGCTCTCGCGGCAAGCGCTCCAGCACCACCGAGCGCCGGGCCTCTCGAAGGCCGAAGGCTCACACTGCTATACCGGCACAGGTAGGATGGCTACTAGTAACAAAGAAGCTACTAGTAGCTACCTGGCATTACTACTAGGAACAAGAAGCTACTAGTAACAAGGGCATCGCCACTAAGTAGCAAGGACGCTACTCCGGTTGTTCCGTTTTTTCTTTGACTGTTCGGAGCTATTTGTGATGCCCATGTTTGTTGGGACAAACAGTGACAAATAGGATCAGGTAGATTGGCATCTTGTCTTGGATACTAATTAGATAGATCATGATAAATACTTTGGAGAGGCCCCTAGGCCCCTCCAGAAATCAATTCAACACCTTGTTGGGGGATTCACGGTATTTTTGGGCCGATGGGACCATCTGTGTTCATCTCCTTCCGCCTGCTCTCGCACCATGGCCATCGAGACATTGGCATAGCTGCACGCGACCGGTGCAGCCTGTGAAAACCGGTGAAGTGGCTCGAAGTCTGAACCTTCACTACCCGGTGACTACCCCAAATACATCCAAAATACCGTTCTTTTCGTCAGAAAATAAAAGAACTGAGGATGGTCTTGATCACCTGTAGACGGGGGAACCTCCAATGACTCTGGACAATAGGGCAACGTAGGATAACGTAGGTATCATTCTACCCTAGCTATGTCTTTTGTTATAATCAACCACTACCAGTCAAAACAGGGTCATTCTGGACTCCCACTGCTCTTGAATCACAGAGCAGAACTGTGGCAAGTGACGTTGCAAACAGTAGTGCCACATTGGCAGAGAATTTGTCGGAACCATGACACTTCTCAAAGGTCCATTCAGCAGCGCAAACGACTGCGACCATTGTTCCACCTGCCAAGGCATTGGCGAGCAAGCGCCGCTGGGCATGCAGCTGGTTGGATCACCTGGTGCAATTTGGCTTAAGCCTGCTTATTGCAGCACGAGTGGATCTTCAAGGCAATTGTGCGCCCAACACGGCGAATTCAACGAAACTGGAAAACTCCAGCTCACCTCTATGGTCTGTGGTATATCCTTCCCAAGCCTCTTTGCTCCGTGTTGGGTCTCACAAACGTCCATGCGTTCGCGCCTCCAAAGAGCAGGCGTGGCGGCGTCACGCCGCGACTCCAATTCACGTTGATGTTGTTGACATCCTGCGATGTGAAACGTGAGGAGTGCAATCCTGCGAGTTCATTCACCGTCTTCTATAGCGGGAGAGGCTGAGGGGGTTGACTTCTTCGGTCTTTTGGAAAGACTTGGGGCCCGCAATGGCCCACGGATTCTGTGAAAGAACAGGTGATTATGAAAAGCAGTTTGTCTGTCTTCAGTGATCCGGTTCAAGCTGTTCATATGATCATATTTAACGCCACTCGAGCGCCAAATGTCAACGTCCAATCAACCTAAAAGCCCAAGTGTTTCAAAGCCTCATTCCGAGGATGGATACTTCGCATCTGGAAAGAAAGCCTCGACTCCCGAGAAAAAGTCTGGAGACCGAGATTAAGGCCATGGCCAAGGCTGGAGACACCGGCTCAAAGGAAGCACTCAAAAAACCTGGACATCACAACACCAAGCCACCCGAAAAGTCGACACGCATCACGTTTTTGGCCCAGTGATGCCTTTCGGTGTGCCAAATAGCACTTCCAAAAAAAGATCAGGACATGTTGCACCAACTTATCAAGACTATATCCAATAATATAACATGCATTTTTTGAATACACTTGGCTGTGGATCAAAACGGAGCCCAATCCCTGGTTGACCTCCCTGTTATGTAGTCTATTCTGTCCATTTTTGGTGGTCAACCAGCGTTCCCTGGTTTTGACCCACGGCCACATACGATCACATACGTGCATATATTCATAATTAGCAATTTTCTAGACTGACCCGTCTTTGACCCGTGTGCAAAGACACCTGGCCTGGTCTCACGTCAGGCGAGAAGTTGGGATTCTGCGGATTGTCCTCAGATCCAAAAAATGTGAGGGTCGGTTTCTCTAGGGAGCCTCGATTGGGCGACAGCAGTTTTTCAGAAAGCACAACACCGTTACAACATCCCGGTCAAGACCGGCGCATCACGTCCGTCTCGGCCAAGGTTGTTCAACTCCTTTGAACCGATTTCGGGAGGGTTCCTGCCCTAACATCCCCCGCACCTGGCGCCTCTGAAACCCACCTCCATCGGACCGACCCCCCGACCGATTCGGACCGATCCAAGCTTCGGCTGAATAGGGCTTCAAGGTGATCGTCGGCCCCAACGGCCCCAACGTTGGACTTGACGTGGAGCGTCCTTTAGCGACGAAGCGACGAAGCGACGAAGCGAGGCGGAGGGATGGCAGTGTTGTTCGTAGCAGACCATCTTTTGAGAGGAATCGTTCATCTCCAATCATCTCCATAGAACATTGACTTCCAGGAAGCATGCTGTATCCAAGTGGATAGAATAGATTTGAACAAGATTGCTATGGGATTTTCTGTTGTACACGCCATCTGGCAAGAAGTGCGGCTTGTCAAGGAAGGCAACCCTGTGATTGAGATCCGTATCGCCAACAACAACACTGGGATCCAGGCCATGACGACGAATGACTTCCACTCTGCTCCATGTGTTGAACAGACTTCCACTCCGTTCTCAAGCCAAGCCACGGCTTGTCAATTGTCGTGGTGGCCACACATGATCATGACCTCCAGAGACGGATGGAGCGAACGCGAAGGAGCGAGCGAAAGCGATCGAGAGCGATCATGGCCAGCTGCACGTGTGGCAATATGGGAGGTGTCAGCTGCACGCTCTGCGCTGCCTGCTCCAGCTGCATCATGCTCCAAGTTCTCCTGAATCGAACAGTGAAGGACGTGAGTCGCTCTGATGAGATTTCCACGGACTCCCCATACTTCTCGAGCCATGTCATGTCAATGGTGTGTTCATCCACGTGAGTCAGGAGCAATACTTCAGGAGTCATCTCGGGACCGGAAACTCAGCTATCGGTGAATCTCCAACCTGCTGATAGATGTGCAGTGCTTCACACAGCGCTGACTCTTCACACAGCGCCCAAAAGAAGGTGTGTCCTGTGTGTCACCTCCCAGCCAATTCCGCCGCAAGTTGACGAAATGCTCGTACTCCTGAACGAATCTAAGACACCAAAAATGCAGACAATAATGACCGACAAACAACAAGGTGCACTTGATAGACTTATGTCTTATGTCTGTTTGACTCACAGGAAGCTGTTCTATGCGTTTCTTCGGTTTCTCCACAAAAAGCAGTTGTGGCAAAAAGCAGCTGGCGTGGACAAATGCAATATGGGGGGGGCCGCGTTCCGCACATTCCACGTGCATCCACGACCCTGGCGGGTGGTGAATCAAGCAGGAAAACAATTGCTTCCTCGAAGGCTGCTACGATGCTTCAAGACCATCCTCTGCCCATGCTCCTTCCATAGAAGGCCACAAAGCGCTAGGTTGCAAAGGTATGACGTTGGCACAACCAACCACAACCTGGCGGCATCTTCTGGTGAGTAAAAACCCAAGTATTACATGATTCACACGAGTCTCGAAAAAAACAAGTGAATTAGCGCCCAAATTCCCTCGTTTTTTTGAGGTCCAGAAGACTCCAAAAGACCATTGTTGGCTTTAGCTTTGACCTCTCGTCATGCTTGGTACATGCTTGACTGACAGACTGACAGGGACTATGCTCCCAAATTTGGTCAACAAATTTCACAACTGAGAATAGTTCGCATTCACACTTGAAGGCTTCCCGGGATACAGTAGTTCTTGAAGCAAGTCGGGGAGGTTAAGCAGCACTTGATCAAAAGTATCAATGCTTGATTAAAGTTCTTTCAGGATCTTACAGGATAGGTTTTCTTCATGTGAATTCCACGTCAGCAACGACTCGCGTTTCAGTTTCGACACCTCCAACTCTCCGGCGGCACATTCGACCTGATCCCCGTGTGGGTGTGCACTTCGTCGGATTCGCCATCTGTGTGTGTGAGGGGCTGTTTCCACAGTGCCGCCTCGTGGGTCTTTCTCCGCATGATCCGTAGCCCAGGGGGTTGGAGAGGAAATCAGCAAACCATGCGGACTAAGGTCGTCACAAACTGTAAAGGCTCAAGGATCCCTCTGCACTTCGACCCCAACCTGCGACCGCGGTCGAAGTTATGATGAAAGAAATGAGAAGCAAATCTCAAATCTATTCAAATCTCTATTTCAGCAGAGGTTTCTATACAGTCTACACCGATCTACACAGTCTACACACCAATCTTCGCCTGCCGTGTCAGCAGGCTGTGTAGCAGCTACAACAATAAATTATTAACTATATATCACGTATAAAATATCATTGTCCTTTTGTTCAACCCCTGAGAGCCAAACTGTAAACAGGCACCAAAACCAGGCACCAAATCCCAGCAAGTGCCTCTCAAAAACAAGGCTGTCATGGAGTCATGGTTTGTCTCGAAAACTTGTGTGATAAATTGCCAGATGCAGAAAGTTAATGAAGCGATGACACAGGGCTCGCTCAGTTTGGCCGCGCTCTACGCTACAGAACTTCCGACACTCTGACATCTGGGATGCCAACGCAGAAGCGGCCACACAATGCACAAAAGCGGAGCCTTGCATGGCAGCAGAAGCTGGTACTGAGGTTCGAGCTGTACACCCCTTAGATCATCTGTGAATCACTGTAGTTGGGTGGAAGGATGTAACACCAGTACTAAGGTTGCAAGTCGCCCAACTTCAGAATTGCCCCGCCCAACCATGGAGGTGCATATATTTGATTGTAATCGTGTCTGACAGCTGACCCGTTGAGTACCAAGCACCAACAAAACATAGCATCCTCGAGGCTCCCACATACTGCACGCTGTTCAGATATATACTGTACGTAACCTAATCTGCTCTCCCCTGAGTCAGAATTACATCAGTTGAGCTATCATGGGAGCGTCATGTCGTTGACAACCCCTTGCCGTTGGAGTCTTTCGTCGAGGCGCAGGATTAGTGCATCCATTCCAGCAGAGTCCACGATGTTCTGGTCCTGCGCTTTGTCGGTGCATTCCTTGTGTTCCCTTGCGATTCCAAGACCTGCCGATGCAACCTGCATATTCCCACGATCGCCGTGCAAGCAAGAAGCTTGCATCGCTTGCATGGTCAAATGGACCCACCATTTGAGCTGGTCAACATTTCGTGGATGTCGTGGATGAAGTCATTTGATCTCATTCACTTTCCTGAATCAAACGATGTCTTTGAATGGTCATTAGATTTCATTTGGTCCAGCCACTTCACCCACGAAGAATCTGAGCGACTTCTTCTCCCAAGCCCTCTGGTCGCCTCCAGCGTGAGCACTCTCCGGAGGAGTTGGTGAAGCCTGGTGAAGCGCAGTCGAGCGGTCCAACAAACCGTCGTCTCAGCCATGACCGGGTCACTACAAGCTGGGGGCAATCCGGAACCAGCAAGTGTTCAACCATTCTAAAAGGTCAAGTGTTCAAGGATGTTTCAAAGGAACAACGGATGAAAGAATGGCCATACTGGCCAACTAGCCTTCTGCAACACTATGTCTCACAAGCTTTCCTGGAGAGTCTCCCCCGTGCCAGCTCGCCCTGCCTGCAGGGCACCTGCCCTGTAATGATGCGTCGCAAGACCTCGCGCTTGTAGCCGCCTCGACTCAAAGGGACGTCTGCGCGACGGAGGCTTCGAGCTTCGGTGTTGAGTGACACACGAAAAAATAAATACTGATCTTTCTTGGCTTGCAAGTGCTTTGTGGGTTACATGCAGGCCATCCATGCTCCGAAAACACTGGTTCAGAACCTCCCCAAAAAATAATATATATATATATATAATAGAAACATCGGAAAGTCAGTGATCTGAAAAAGTTGGCCCCAACAAGCATAGCCTCTTTATCTAATGCACTTAGGACTTGTGCCGCATGCCACGTTATGCCACGTTATGCCACGTTATGTCACGATTGGATATGGCTTAGAAGATCTTAGAAGTTGAACATGCCCATCCGGGCTCCGAACGGCCCATATCTCCTCAAGGTGACCGGTGGTCTTCGAACCCCCCCCCCGAAACACCCACTCCAACCATCCAGGAGCGATGAGCAACCTGGCGCCAAGGCACGAGGTCTCTGACTCAAGGAGGACCCAGACGAGACGCCAAAGCCCTGGCAACGATGGGGACGTTCAATAAGGACATTGAGCTTGGTGGTTTTTTAGATGCAACAATGGCCAACCTTGTTGCCTTCAGGGTATTCATTTGTTGATTTGCCAGATCAACAAATCCTTCTTAGGTCAATTTGGGTCGATTGTTGATCTTTCTTCTGCTACAACGCTGAACTGAACCAAAATATTGACTAAAACATACTACAACCAAAAGAGAAGAATGATTGACGGTATTAATTCCATTTATGATGTTCACAATGTATGGGATCATCGTTCCCATGAATTTGGGAGAGTCCAAACCGCCTCTGCATGTTGGAGACCATCCGCATGAACCGCTTCAAGAGTCTCTGTTTTCATCTGTTTTCGGTACGGTTTGTAGGCTGGGCGTCTCTGTAGGAACGCATGATGAACTGGCTGTTTTCGCCGGTTCTGAGTCGAGACCTCGAACACGAGTCAGGAGGCGGGGACTCAGCCAAGTTCATCGCACAAACATCCAGGTTCTCTGCGCCTGGAAGCTCAACTCTGCTGCTTTGGCAGGGGAAAAGAAGAGCCTCGGCACCGCCAAAGCCTCGAAAGCCAAGCTGTGAGAGACCCAAAGTGGAAGACTTCTCACAAAATACCTGTTCATCGTTTTCATGTCATGTGTTTTCGCTTCATTCCTTTCATGAGCATGCTTTCTGCACACATCCCCCACATCCTGCCAAATGTCTATCTGCTTTTCAAAACAACACCCAGCCTGGCCCAAATCACCAAAGATCCAACCCTGGAGAAGCAACTCCTTGGCCGAGCACAATATTGGCAAACCCGGCAATCCCCGTCCACAAATTCTTCAAACAACGGCATCAGTAACAGCTAAGAATGCTTGATAGATGCATTTTGATTCAGGACCTTGAGGCCTTCAACAGTGTGTAACTGCCCGTTGCTATCTTCTGGACCGCAGCTAGAAGTTAGGTGACGTTGCGCTGAGGTGTACAGTTCAATGCAGCAGCCCAAGTGTCGAAGCCAAAGAGGGAGAGAATAAAGCCGAGAATGCCCAAGCGCAAGGTCAGCATGACATAGAAAACGCTGCTGTCGTGGTAGTACCACCTCATCGGGTTCAAAGGACACGGTTCCGAGGTAAATGAGGCCAAAGTGTGCCATGTTTGTCATTAAAACGCCATACAGGGCCATACACCTTCAAAGGAACTGAACACTGGAAATATTAGCCACGGTATGCAACGCAAAGGCTGTCTGCATTTTTCCGACAAGGGACTCGCGTTGTT